AGTAAAACATGGACTCGATTAGTAAAACATGGACTCGATTAGTATAACATGGACTCGATTAGTAAAACATGGACTTTATTAGTAAAACATTCCTAAATGTAGTTCCTTGTCTGTTTTTTGTAAATTGTAATTTTAATAACATCAACTTTAGTGTACAAGAGATCTCGTTGATATTTAACGTAAAGTTTCAAGCCAAATTTTTTACCGACATTTAGGTAATGCTATATAGATATAGATGATTTCTTGATTTTTATCTAAACAGAAACACCTTTGCTATTTAACACGTCCACATCGATTTATCCCAGGAGAAACATAATTTGGACGTGGTTGCGTTGTGTGCACTATATTCTTTATAAATATATACTCGATAAAAAGATTCTCCGACAATCGGCATGTTTCCTGCAATACTAATTTACGAATTTTGGATTGATGGTGTCATAGGCGTACGGGAAGGAAAAAATTAGGGGGGCGGAAACTAATTTGCCCGACTTTTTCGGATTGTGCCAGACCAGTGCTAAAAAAAATTTTTCCGGAACAATAAATTTTGGCGACCCTCCCCCGTCGCCAAAAAAATTTCGGTCAGTGTACCATTTTAGGGGTATTTTAGAATAGCACATCATGCCTACCAAGAGTCCATGTTTTACTAAGGGGCCGACCATTTAACTTTTGAGGGGGGAGGGAGGTGATTTTGAAAAAAAATTTCCTGCAAGGCTATTCTGAACAACAACAAAAAATACCTGCACTAAAAAACTGGGGAAAAAATATCCTGCCCCAGTATTTGGTGCAGGGATAGATTTGACCAGTCCGAGAAGATCAGCTGGTTTGATTTTCAGGGACTAGTGTAAGGTTAATTTCTTGTTGGAAAACTCCTCAAAATGCTGGAAATAGCTTATCTAAGCTTCAAAAAATCAAAACTTTTCAAGGGGGCATGCCACCAGACCCCTCTAGAGGCTCGCACCTTCGGTGGTCGACTCAGTTGTCTCAGAGTCCTAGTTAAGCATGGCCTGAGCTGCTGCCCTATGACGTACACTTATTAGATAAACCATGCATATATATATATATATATATATATGCTGTAGGTAGCTGCAGTGATACAGACAGGGCTGTAGCGAGGAGGGGGGTATTGGGGGGTGGGGGGTGGGTGGTTAACCCCCCAACTTTTTTAGAATCAACATATTCAGAAAATCGGGTTGACCATTCGGAAAATTATGACAATAATAGTAGACTGAAAATTTTAGTTGTTAAACAGAGAAAATATTATAAAATTGTATTGTCACTATTTTTAAATTTCGACGCTTAAAAACGCTTTTTTCTGACCATCAGCATTCTGTCAAAACTTCCCCAAAGTCCAGAAAATGGCATTTCAGATACATTTCTATGAAATGGCATTTTGAAAAATTTCCTCGGCCCTCGCTTTCTGCCCCCAATAAACAAAAGCTCCCTACCGCACTGCTTCTGTAATATGTCTGTGCGTAAAATATGCGTATTTTTGTTTGTAAATTGCGTCTTCATTTTCCGAATAGCAAACACCTTTGTGGCTTAGTATGCCATGATATATTCGGAATTTTTTTTCGTCATTTGGAAATTTTTGGCCTACACCCCCCCCAACTATACATGCTAGCTACGGCCCTGGATACAGACTTGCCGACTGGAACTTCTCCAGGTCCCCCACTAATTATGTCCTCTCCAGTTACACATCCTTAAAAAAGGCCCTGAACCAAATGTTATACCTCATAGCAATATGTATTATTAAGAGCAATGCATGAAGCGGAAAACTCAACGTTAACTATAATTAAAGAATCTAAATAGTATAACCTATTGAAAAAAAATGCTGCGAAAGAAAGTGTGGCAATATAAATCGTGCATGGTGATGGGATAAAAAAAAACTTGCACATAACGATCCCAGAAAAAATCCCCCCCCCCCTCGAAAGTTAAATGGTCGGCCCCTAATCGAGTCCAGTCCATGTTTTACTACATGCCCTCTTATACACTAAAGTTGATGTTATTAAAATTACAATTTACAAAAAAACAGACAAGGAACTACATTTAGGAATGTTTTACTAATCGAGTCCATGTTTTACTAATCGAGTCCATGTTTTACTAATAGAGTCCATGTTTTACTAATAGAGTCCATGTTTTGCTAATCGAGTCCATGTTTTACTAATCGAGTCCATGTTTTACTAATCGAGTCCATGTTTTACTAATCGAGTCCATGTTTTACTAATCGAGTCCATGTTTTACTAATCGAGTCCATGTTTTACTAATCGGGTCCAGTCCATGTTTTACTAATGAGTCCATGTTTTACTAATGAGTCCATGTTTTACTAATGAGTCCATGTTTTACTAATGAGTCCAGTCCATGTTTTACTACATGCCGACTCACGATGGCGTATACGTTTCCCAAATTGGCAACAAATTAAACATTTGGACAAATTTTCGAAAATTGGAAGAACATTTAAATCCCAAAGGTGGAAAAATGCGAGTTTACCTTTGGAACAATTTACCTGAAAATATCTGGGGACGGTTGTATAAAACTCTTAATCCGACTTTTTTAATCACTATTTTGTAGTTAAATAGTGATTAACTCTCAAATGGGCGCTTCTTATTGGATGACGTTTGCACTTAATCATAGTTAACTTTAATCACTTCTTTATACAACCGGCCACAGAACTTCAGCGGTAGGGTAGCAAACGGTTTAAACATGATTGTAGGGAGTTCTAGAAAACTAGTTCAGGGCCGTAACTACAGGGGGTTTGGAGTTTGGGGGTGGGACACCCCCCCCCCAATATTGTAATATTGCAGTTTCGCCAACGATTTTGAGAAAAGAAATATTAATTAGCGACTGAAATGTCCGTCGGGCATGACTTCAGCCAATCCCTGTTAGTCGGGCAAAACAAGCTCCCCCCCCCCAGTCGTAATACCGAAGATACGGCCCTGAAAACTGTACCATATGATCCGGATCGATCTCGTGTTTCTTGGGAAGCATAAGAACATTAAGTGCATTACTACTACAGTATGTAGTAATTTTTTGATCATTTTGATAGTGTCTTTTGTTTTTGATGGAACAGCTTAGTATGGTTCTTTTGGACTTTTTAGTTCCTTTCTGTTCTACCCTCTGCCTATATATTTTTATATTTATTATTTCTTGTATGCAGTAAACTTTATTAAATTAAATTAAAAAATTTTTATAAATACGAAAAAGAAAACATATTGACGTATTAATAACATGTCAAAGTTGCATGGATGTAATCATTACACCATGTAATCTGTATATGTCAGAGCATGGTCACATGTGTGCACATGTAGACTTGTATCAAATCCAAACTTTATACATTTATTTCAATCGATCTCCAGGAGCAGCTTCGAAAAATGCAACGATGTCTATACAGGAATTGAATTTGCGGCCTGTGATTCCATGCCCGTGCGAATCGCAGGCCAAATTCGACTCTTGCCAGAGCCTGCAGAGGTTAGGTCTAAATAAATATTTACACTCGGAATTCCCACCTACAAAACCTTTGAATATTAGTTCAATCAAGTGAAATCTCCCAAAAGTTCCGTGATATTGTATCAAGTCCGTCTCTCCAAAGGCAATCCGTGGCCCACGAGGGACGAGGGATTCCACACGCACGAACGGAACTGAACTCTCATGATTGTATACATGATGTGCAGGTTTGTTAGTTTCGCCTAGAATATGTCCGGAAGAAAAAATATTTTCGTTGTTTTTTGGTCATTTTGTTGTTTCATTTTGTTGTTGTTGTTGTTGTTGTTGTTGTTGTTGTTGTTGTTGTTGTTGTTGTTGTTGTTGTTGTTGTTGTTGTTGTTGTTGTTGTTGTTGTTGTTGTTGTTGTTGTTGTTGTTGTTGTGGTATATGCTAAATTTTCGCGTTTCGGTGAATACCTTGCGCCATTCACCTCCACTTCGGCGAATAATTGTTAAATATAAAAAGTTTGATGTAGCCTACTGGTTATTTCAGCTTGTTTTATTTACTTGGACTTATTATTTTGCTATCATCGAATGTAGGTATATTCAACAGTTTATAGCCGACGAGTTGCTACAGCCATTGTCATTACTGAAGCAACAATTAATTCTTCTTTGTTACAGTGTTTTGACTATTTGTTCGGCCAAAAACCGCTTGGCCTTGAACTAATTTGAAATGTTTTTTTTACAACAGTCGAAGTCAAAAAATGGTTTTAGAACCGGTATTTGTCGTGTCACCGAAAAGTTGAGATATTTTATACAGATGTTTGGTAGTATAGCAAGTTCTGAACAATTTACATTCTCAATCAAAATGAACATGTTTTTTTCGCTGTTGTTTCTGCATTAATAATTCATTAAAAGCCTTGTTTTTAAATCAGTTTCTACACAATAAATCTATTTTGCTAACCTGTCAAAATCGTTTGAGAGTTTTTTCTTGTACTTTTATCTTTCTCAAAGCCAATATTTTCCTTTTATTCTGCTTCGCATAACTCTTGTAGTTTTTGTACCACCATCTTGGCCTTTTTTGACCAATCAGAATGTAGAACTGATAGCTCATATACGGTGGATGACTATATTTTAATAACTAATACATATCTTTTCTATTTCACGGCTGAAATATTTTAAAAAAATAGAAAACATTTTCCATGTTTCTACAGTATATACAGCTATAAAAACACGTGTGGGAGTTTGGGAGAACAAGCCCGAAGGGCGACTTTAAGTTCTCTCAAACTATCACAAGCAGAAACACAAGAAAAAATGTTTTCTATTTATTTTATAAAAAAGTTTTTATAGCCATTTTTATATCGACTAATTAAGAATAGAAGATTAGGACTAAGGAGACTTCTGCCATCCTAATTATCCCTTCTTTGTAGTGCGAGAAGCAGGGGCAATCGTCCTCTCCTGCCCTTCCAGTCAGGACAATGAATGCCAAAGGAATAGTGGATGCAATGCGTAATGTCACGGCTAGAATGTACCAAAAACCTGTATGTAAAACGTTAATCATTAATACATATGTAGAAAATATTAATCGCGGAATTCCTCAACATCACTGGCGTCACTCGATATGGCAAAACGAATAAAAATTTTGATACAGCGAGTAATGTTGCGTTGAATAGGTTGTGAAAATGGAAATTCCATTTTGTCGTATCCCAGGTCAAAACGATTACGGAATGTCACCTGACGTCGTATTTTTACGGGAAATAGTTCAGCTTCAATGACCCAGACGAAGTTCAAACTGCTTGCGTCTTCAATGTTGTGAATGTAAAGACCAACACTCCACAAATTTGACTCTAATGTAAGAGATAACGTCAATTCAAAACCACACCACCAAAATCTATCCGATTTGTACATTTCTGGAGAATTCTGATGGTTATCTTCAGAAATGAAAAGCTGCCATGTAAACGAAGGTTCATTGTCAGCTTTGTATTCAGCCCGCCTTGTTATCTCATTCTCGAGCAGTGCTTTCCTCTTTGGTGACGAGCTATGATATCGAAAACCATTCACGAGTAATTTGTTATATCCGTCCATTTCTTTTGCTACATGATGATTATATACGACCTCTTGTAGAAACTCAACTGTCATTAATTCTGGTCGTAAAAATGGCAGAAGTGAAGGACCATTATAATCATTATATTTACACCACGACATCAAGGCAATGAAAACAGTGTTTTCCGATAATACTGTAATTTCATTGCTTGAAAGTAACATTCTTAAAGAAAATTCTGAAAGATCTTTGAATTCCTCCGTATCCCAGACCTTGTCAAGAGGGTTGAACGCTTTAACAAGGAAGCATCGAAGGTACTCCGTCAAATCATCTGTGGCGGGCATCTCATTAACAACTGCTAAAACTGATTCACAAAGCTCTAAGGACATACTCACTGACATCAAAAGATACTTGCACTTTTTGAAAATCAAGGTAACATCATATTTATTTGCAAGTATAAGCACTTCAAGGACAATATATGGATCCATGTGATCAAGAATCGATGGTTGGTACATAGCTTTAATCAAGGTGTAGTGGGCCTCTAATTCTTCTTCAGTTACTTTCAAAATGATTTCTTTCGAAAAAGATTCCTTCATACCAGAAGAATAAAACAATGCTCTAAAATACGGACTATGTACTGCGAGCCATGAACTGTGGATGAATAATCGTTGTTCCTGTGATGGAATTTCGTTTGTTAGGGAACCACATTCGTGCTTTTCAACTTCTTCAGCTGTTTGAGTGTTTTCTATTTTTGTTTTTGTAACATGAGATGGACGTTCACTATTTGTATTGTCGAGTCCGGATAAAATTGCTTCATTAGCTTCTATTTCTGCGTTTTCTACGATTTCTGTTTTTGCCGTGTTGGTTGGATGTTCACTATTTTCATTATCAAGTCGAGAAAAATATATCTCTTTATCCTGTTTTTCAATCGACCCGTTTGCTCTGCCATCACCTTGTATGTATTCTTCCTGCGGATACAAAAGAGAACTTTGAGCATGTGTAATTTTGGACGCTTAAACAAGAAGTGGTACATGGCAGGTCTGTACATTGAATTATATCATGATAAATAGAGGCCCTATACACTGTCAGTGAAGCAACGTCACTTCAGGTCTTTCACTGAGTCACACGAGAATATTACATCTCAAAACATTAATAAGGCATGAGTAAATTAGCCAACCATATTGCTTTATCCCGCTCACATGATAATACTGCATTATATACCTGGTAAAGTCACTGATCTGAAATAAGACTGTATAAAGCAACTGCTGTGCATAAGTGAAGCCAATGGCGGCCATATTGGATGGCCCACCATTAATCAAATCTGGTGTTGTGGACATGTTTAACTCTTCCTTTACGTTTCTAATCACTAGTGGGAAAGGACAAATATTGCCTAGATAAGAATATATTTTCAGTAGCCTCTCTTTTTTCCTAAATTTTCCGATGAATAACTAATGGCGGCCATCAAATATGGCCGCTATAAGCCTCACATTATGTGGTCTATAAAACGTTCTAAAACTACTTCCACATAGGCGAAGATATTTGCTTTTTAGTCTAACTGAACTTAAACAGCAAACGATTAGACTGGTCATGAATTTGGCTGATTTATAATATCTCATTAAAATATTATGGCTTCAAAATATACTGAATTCAATAGGATGCTTTATCCAGTCTTATTTCAGATCAGTGGGTGAAGTATATTAGTACTAGATCAAAATTAATCCAGTCCTTGGATCATCCAATGGATCATCCTCGTCCCCAGGGTCTCTCGGCGGCGCGCGTCCTCGCTAGATCCTGGGAGACACAAGGAGACACGGAACCAACACCGCGGAAAAACGTTTGCGCATGCGTCAACCTTACCTTTAATAGTATTGCGAACTTGATGAGAAGCTGTTCCGAACGTTTCCGAAGGCTCAAAAATGGCGGTAAAAAGGAGTGACTTCATTGTGCGTCTTTACAGTCAGATTTCGAGCGCAAAAATAAACATGTCATTCTAAAAACTAGGAATAAATACAGCCAGAAAGTTCAAGAAATTGTATTGTACAAGAACATGAACTAAAGGTGATTGTTGACAAATTTATCGTCTGAAACATTTTGTTTATCAACTAAGCAACGACAATTTCCGAATGTTCGTTTGAGATACAGTTTTTAAAAAAAACTGTGTCGCCAAACATAAAAAAATTTCGTGTTCACAATAATTAAACTTTAGGATTTATTCTACAATTTGAGTGGGTTAAGAAGCTTAACTTTTCGAGAGTTTTCTTAACTTTTTAGTTTGAATTTTTGTTTTGAATAATTTTGCAAAAATTTTCGAAGTCGTGTCCGTTAAAATCAACAATTTTTTACATGAATTATATTTCATTCCATACTTTAAATGCCAGGACGCTTTCAATTAATGTCTAGTCTACCCATTTGCTATATTTTCTCGTTTGTTTTACTAATTTTTGACCAATTAATAAGCATGTTTCTGTTTTCGAAATTGATATTCAAATTCCCCGCCATATTTTCATAATTTGGTGCATGCGCAGACGTTTTTCCGCGGTGTTCACGGAAGGCAATTGCTAGACAGTATACTTCAAAATAAGCCGGTTTCCGTTTTTATATCAATTTTTAAAATAAGTTAGGGTTAGGTTAGGGTTTAGGTTAGGGTTAGGTTGGGGTTAGGGTAAGGGTTAGTATTAGGGTTAGGGTTTAGTTTTGTGTTAGGATAGTTTTTTCTACGTTATAAAAACGGAAACCTTATTTTGCAGTATACTATCTAGCGATCACCGTTCACGGAACCAGGAAATGCATGTTTCTAAAGCGCATGTTCTTGAATTGAAACGCTTTGGCACCCGTATTTTCACTGTGAAGTATTACGAAGAAACGAAGTATTTGTGTTGACATATGTTGATAGAATAATTTTGCCCAGCGAAAACTGCTCAACTTCTGCGAAATAGCAGTTCTCTGAGAAGCTAATCAGATCTCGCCCTTTAGTCGTATAACCCTGAGCCTAATTTTCAACAAAAGTGGCTCTGGGGACGAGAATGTCCTTGGATTGGATCAAAGTTAATTCACCTCACTTTAAGTAGTGATTTATTCGCATGAGATGTCATTTCAAATCTTCCAATTCGGACTGGACTAGATTTCAAGTCCTCGCATTTTGATCCAGTGTTCGACTTCGCCTCGGACTTGATCGGCAAATTAATATTCAAAGCCATTGGCATCATCTACCGAGCTAGCTTCGTTTCAATTTGTCTGCGAGTACTAAATAATCTAATTTGTCTTTATATTACACCTTAATTTATCCATATCTTACATACTGCAATATTATTTGGTCGTCCACATACTCTTCAAATTTAAGGCGTGTACTCGTACTACAGAAACGAATTGTCAGACTGCTGACAAATTCGGATTTTTACGAGCATACTGATATACTGCTCCGCTTTTTGCGAACTGAATGCTGGAATGCATGTGCTTGACATTAATAAGATTAACTTGTTATACGTTGGAAAAATCATGTATTCCTATCTTAACAAGCTACTACCTTAATCTTTTCACAACTTATTTATTACTATAATAATCAAATTCATCAACACAATACAAGAAACGCTAGTCTATATATCATATCGATCACGTGTTCGTAGAACTAACATAAAACAGTTCACCATACTTTATCAAGGTCCTAAACTCTGGTGTTCTCTCCCAGATAAAGTTAAAAATGCCGAGACGTTGAATTGCTTCAGGCCGAATAGACTGCTGCAATACCTGTATCCTAGCAGATTTGGACCCTCTCAAAATGGACCCCTCGGTCCAAATCCGCTAGCGAATATTCGCCCCTTCGCGTATTTTGTCATTGTATCGTATTGTATTTTGAATATTGTTTATAATATAATCAAAGCGTTTTAAATTGTCATAAATCTCATCTGATTTATTTTAGATTAAAAAATTCCATCACATCTCAGATTTTCAGATTATTGGAAGAATTCCGTCAAAGTTTATGATTTATAATTTTTTCAGTGCAACATGGGTTTATAAAATGTTTATTAGGGAGTTTAAGATGCCGACAACGAACAACGGGTACGGAATACGGTTGAAAGTTTGTTTTTGCATTGTTTAACTGAGACAGACAAAATTTACATATCCCCAGAGCATACTTTTCACCATAGCGACCGCTATAGCGTAAAAATCACATTCTTATGTTGTAAAACAGAATCAAGAACATATCGCACCGAAACTGACTACGCCGTTGCAGGTTGGGGAGTATTTAAAAGATGTTAGGTACCTTACCGAACACAAAACCATGCACATAAAACATATTTGGGATAAATTTGTTATGAAAAGCATTTAGTATTTACATACATGCATGCATATACTATTTCAACTATTTCATAAAACTATTTCAAACGTATAGTCGATAGTTCGTCGTCAAGATCTTAAACTTCCTATTTCTATGATCTTGGAATGTGCGAGAAGCGCATGAAGCCTTCACAAGTATTTTACTCCTAATTGGAATTGCTATCTGCTCTGACGCTTTACTGCTGAAAAAAACGGAAAACGAAAATATATTTCAAATTATTTTTGCCTTAAATTAGCATCTCAATAACTTGTTTTCGTCATTAAGCAAATTCCAAGATAGTCGAGTCATGCCATTAGTTATCATAATTTCAATTAAACTGACGCCTAAATTTCCATGCGCATTCAACTGCGAATCGTTTCTCATAAAAGTGAACGTTAGTTTGAAGCACAAGTACGTAGCTTAAAACGATAATTAAGACTTATTATTACAGCGTTGGAACCACAGTATATAATTTTCATAAAGCATTTTGATCTCGAGAATATATATATTTAATATCTATAATTTCATCATCTAGCTAGTCCCCACATTACTCGTAGAATTAAAAATTTCTTCTTTCTGTGAATTTTAGGGGTCCAATTTAGCGGAAGGGGGTACATATCAGCTAGCGGATATGTACCGTAGGGGTCCAAATCCGCTAGGCCTAGGGGGATAATATAGAGTTGTTGATCGCGAACAATCCGGCACTAAGTTGCCTGCCATGTTACATAAAAAAATTAGTAGTTTTCATATTTGTTAATAGGCCGTGAAAATTGAGTGAATCGTCTTTCATTCGGCCACACCAATTCGGTAACGTTGAAACGTAAAAAGTTTCAAGGAGAGCGAGTGTGCCGGCTTATACTTGTGTATACTTATACCTCATCAATTCCTTCTTCAGAAGCAAGTCGATTATCCTCAGTCCCAATCACTTCGTACTGCAGGTAGTTCTCTGGGAGTATTACACCATCGTCTTTTTCCATTATTTTCAATACAAGAATACGGTCATGAAGTGCACTCTTATTAAACTCAGATGCAAAAATTTCTGAATATTGCAGTAAATCTTCACGCTTAAATTGTGGCCAACTTGAGTCCTCGCGATCACTGCACTCATCGTTACATGCCATTCTTACTCACTTTTGTGACGTAGAACCGTTTTCTTTTGTCTTATTACAGACCAGTTGTATATATATATATATATACTACAACACACTATACAGATGTAAAATTTGTGTCCTCAGAAATTCGCGCTAAACACAAGACATGCAGAGTTGTAAAGATAATGAAGATATATTTGCTTAACTGTTATGACAACATAATCATGTGGTTTACACGTACCTGTTTTCCAAATTACTCTATCTACCCGAAAGGTCCTTAATCATTTAAATAATCATGCAAAGGTCAGTTTTATGCCACGTCAACTGCGTGCAGGCAGTAAATCTTCACGCGCTTAAATTGTTTCACTGCGCTCATCGAAACCGCACAGTTTAAGACAAGTTTACTATACTACTCACTTCTGTGACGTTTTCTTTTGTCTTGAGGCAGACCAGTCGTATATCCTACTGCACACTATACACAGATGTAAAATTTTGTTTCCCGGTGAGAATTTCGCATTAACCGCAAACGGCATGAGTTGTGAACTAGTTCCCATAATAAAGATATATTAAGAAACTATTGTTATGGCAACATGAATCATGTGGTCACACGTACCCGTTTTCCAAATGTCCTTAATTCAAATAATCAAAGGTTAGTTTTATATGCCACATGAACTGCGTGCGGTATCAACAAAACCATGATTGGATCGGATGGACAAATTTCGGATTGGAACGGTCAGAGGCGCCGGAATATCGATAGGGGGCAGGTATTCATATATTCGAGTCTGCCCAATTAATTTCTTTTGAAGTCGATTGTTTTTACAGTCTGTGAACACGAATATATGAATATCTGCCCCCGCTATTATCGATATTCCGGCGCCTCTGGGAACGTATTAACAAACCCAGATCGGAACAGACTGAAAACTATATAGTTTGCTTACGACATGCTTATAATAGATAAGCACATCGGCACATCCACGTAGAAATCTTTTCTCCAATGAAACGAATAATCACGATAAAATAGTAGGCCATTAGCTAATTCTGGACTTCAAAAATGACACAGTTACGTTTCCGACTAAATAACCTTTACTGTAATATTTAATATTTAGCTCTCTTAGTTTTTTATAGTTGTATAATTAAATTAGTTGTGCCGGATAAATAACACATGCCAACTCGCGAGTCTCGACGGTTGCATGTTTATATGAACTCATAGTGAAAATTATCAAAAGTACTATAATATTAACTGGGACAAACTGCACACGTATTAAATTGAGCCGGTTCATATTCTTTATTTGGTACCATAATTTTGTACCCGCGGCCGTAGTCAAAAACTATTATATAGTTATGAGATATAGTATAAATGAAATAAATTGATAGAAATATAAAAGCGGCGGCAATGCTTTTATTGTTTGAATTTATATTCTCCATTTCTCCCCGACAGCGTAAGCACACATATACTCATTATTCCTATCCGAATTTTGCCTGTCTGAGATCTTCAAAAAAAGTTTAAGAAAGTTAACAAAAGTAAAAAAAAGTTTAAAAAGTTAGATTTTCAAAAAAAGTTTAAAAAGTTAGATAGGGTTATAGGGGTTAGGGTTAAGGATTGGGGTTAGAGTTATAGGGTTAGGGGTTAGAGGTTGGGGTTGGGGTTAGTGTTAGGGGTTAGGTGCCGCGAATTTATCATATTGATAATTTCAGACGTGTTTAACAATTTACTCATATAGTAAATTCAAAGGTGGAGCTCATGCTGGGTCAGTTTTGTTGATCTGAGTCATGAACTACTCTAAAATACTAAATAGCAAGCGTAAACATTTGAACATTTGAGCCGTATTTATACGTTTTGTCACCTAAATAACCCGCTGCTGATTGGTTCGGTTATTCAAAAGCGGCCTCGCATACCTATAAAGTCGGTCAAAGAAAATATTGAACCATTTTATTATATTAGGATTTTCCTGTACTTAAATTTTGCAATAATTATTCCGCATATATCTTGGAAATCGTTTTAAACCTTTTTTATATATTAAAAACATAAAAGTATACAGTGCATGTGGATAAAAAAAGGTAATCGAACTCCAGCGTCCTATTGTATCTGAATTGCCCTGCGTATGAACAATATTTTTTCATATTCGGAAAGATCATGCAGGCTTTTAGCTGTTGAATGATATGTTCTTCATGCCAAATGGCAAATGGATAAAAAATGAGCAATTACGAATCCGATAAAAAATGTTTAGTAAAGGCAGAATCGCATATTTTCACCGTTGAGAGTTGGGTCTAAATTAACCATTGAAGTTCGATTACCTTTTTTTATACACACTGTACGTCGTCATCGATAACGAACCACAAAGCTCGTGAGGGTGCAACATATATAAAACTGGCATGTCTGGTCGCGTAATTTTAATGAAAACGGGCTCATAGTATAGAAGAGTAAACCCTCAATAGAATTTTGTTGTGTCTTAATAACCTACACGGTTACTAAATCAAAGTACAACTCCAAGTATATTGTATTCTTTTTAAATAGTACTTACAACAACAACTATAGGACGCCAGTACTTACTACTAAAGTCCAAATAGTTAAATTTATGTTCACAGAATGCGCGTGCGCGTTATGTGGGGCAGGATACAACATCCATCCCCTGTTTAGATAAATGTTTCTTCAAATGTCCTTTGTGATATCAACTGTAAATACTAAATGACTACTTTAAGTCTTTAAAGTTTACAACTAAATGTTTTTACTTTACAAATCCTGAGTAATTTGGAGCAGTTTTTCGTCTATTAGATCTGCGTGTAGTTTCCTCTTGGTTCCTGTCTGGGGGACAGCCTTCATGTGGGATTTGTAGTTCCAGGTTGGTTTTCTGCTGATGGAATGGGATCTGTTGATGAGGAATCTTCATCATCCGCTGAGGGAGTTGGTTTTTCTTTAGGTATTTCTTTACATGGGATGAATTGCGCACATGTTATTTACCATGACGATCCTCTAATATAATTTGGGAACCATTGATCTTTATAATTTTCACATTGGATCTTTTCCAACTGTATCGAATACTTGTGTTTTCTTTTCTGGGTGACCAGGACTTTGTCTCCTACTGCAAGATGACGTGTCTTTACGTGTCGATAACGATTTTTTCTATAGTTTGGTTCTCATGTTGTGTTAACTATGAGTTAACATTTAATGTTATTAACCCCCAATTCGGTCGATGACTGATATCCCAGAATACACTTGTACTGTCGGATTGTTACATAAAATGTTCCACCAGTGTGCTGTCCAGTGGAAGACTGAATGGTGGTTTTGAATTGGCCGGCAACTCTATCGGGTCCTCAGAACCATAACCACGTATCTTTGCCTTTGTTGGGACTATAAATGAATGCTTTGGTTGTTTTTCCGAATTCACGATTGAAAATGTTATGATGAGCAATGTTAACGGAGGCACCAGAGTCAACCAAAACCTTTACATTGGCATCACTGATTGAAATTTGGGTTTCGGGTAATTTAGCTGAGGTGGATGAAAGTATGAAACAATTATCTTCATCAGAATCTTGCAAATATGTATTCTTAGGCTGTTCGACATTTCTGATTTTCTGACTGATTTCTTTACTGACCTACAAAATTTGGAAAAATGGCGGAGAGGGGATTAAAAATACTCAGATAAACATTCTACTGCTGCTTCGTACGTTGTTCCAGTATCGGCCGGTAACTGAATATCAAATATATATGTCGTTCATAGCTTCGCCAATATATGTCAACAATAGTCCACGTCGTTTTAGTCAGGCAGATAGTAGGGGAAAACTCACCTGATCAGGGGGGAATTCTATTTCGCCTTTATCTTGTACCTTTAAGGCTATGTCTTGTGGGCTCCTGCCAACACGTGTTTCTTCGATTTTCCTGTTAAACTTAAAACTCCTATATTGTGAAAACGTGACATTTCAGGTTCATTTATAGACTAAAAACAACTTGCAGCATTAGAAAGCTTACAAAAAACTACATATAAGACATTTAAACGGTTACCTTGACTTTTTAAACGGTGTTCGATTGCTGTTCCAAAGTGTGAAAAATAGGCATAAAATGCGCACAAATCCTGGGCACACAAAAGCTCATAACTCAAGACAAACTTGAAAAATCAAGGTAACCGTTTAAGTGTCTTATATGTAATTTTTTGTAAGCTTTCTAATAGGCTGCAAGTTATATTTCTGAATTTTCACGTTTTTAACAATATGGGAGTTTAAAGGAAAATCGAAGAAAAGCTGACGTGTTGGCAGGAGCCCACAAGAAATTTGAGTGCTGCCAACATACAGAATATACCTACTAGCCTCAAAGACACAAGATGAAGGCAGAATGGAATTGCCCCCACATATGGTGAGTTTTCATTCATCAGTTTAATTTTGTCCTCCATATGCCTAATTCTTCAAAACATGGACTTATAATTCATTATCCGCGACGACAAAGCGAGAATTAGCCTGCAAACAGGCTAAGCGAGAATTAAAGTCATTGTTTTATTGCTATTTAAAACAAGAAACTTCCCGCACTTGCGTCTCAGCTAATCAGATACAAGTAATTTGCTCTGAATTAAGAAAAAATGCCCTCCTCATTAGCCAATCATATTGAGTAATTTTGCCCTCTATATGATTAAATTGTAATCCTCGTCGCCAGTGCTGTAGTCTTAAGCTTGCAGCACTGACGAGAGCTATCTGCTGAGCCAAAAGTTACTCGTGCCTGTTAGCTCAGCCGATAGCTCACCGTGTGCGGGTACATTTTACTGAGTTTTTGCCTCATGCAACCTTTTCTCGCGTATCAAACATGTTTGATCGATGAGCTATCGGCTGAGCTAACAGGCACGAGTAACTTTTGGCTCAGCAGATAGCTCTCGTGTGCTGCAGGCTACACGGTTACTAAATTAAAGTACAACTCCAGGTATATTGTATTCTTTTCACAATGTAAATACTTACAACAATAAAACTATAAAAGTCCAAATAGTTTATACATGTTCACGTGCGCGTGCACGTGATGTGGGCAGTATACAACAAAATCATTCAACAAAACCCTTCAACATTCGTTCAATCCATTAGTTCATTCATCATACAAAACCCTTCAACATTAGTTCAATCGAGTGAAATGTTTAAAAAATTCCTGATATTGTTTCAAGTTCGTCGGCTCGAGAGGGAATACCGTGACCCACGACTCCACGAAGGGAGAGGGGTTCCGCACGCACGCACGCACGCACGCACGCACGCACGCACGCACGCACGCACGCACGCACGCACGCACGAGCGGAAGAAACTCTCATTGTAAGTTTACAGCCTAGACCTTAGACTTGCTCCAAGTCTCTCTTTCATTGTCATATCGATCCACTATAGTGTACATTACATGACGTAGCACGGACTCCACGGAGAGGGGGAGCGAGAAAGAGAGACTTGTCAACTTCGGAAAATCTCGGTTAAAAACTGAACCGAAAATGCACGACTTGCTTTAATTCTTTCCTTCAATTTCTTTCTGTATTATTTACTATAATGGAACTCATGTTATTTACACTGTGCTAGATCAATATATATAAACACTGAAAGAAAACAATTAAAGCAAGTCTTGTATTTCCCGGAGGTCGGGAATCTTCGAGTTAAGCCCTTCGAGTTAAGCCCCTCGAGTTAAGCACTTTTCGAGTTAAGCCCCGATCACGCCCTGTTTTGCCAAGACCACGCCCTTTTTCAAAAAGGGCTTAACTCGAAGAACGAAACACGATTTGGGTTATTCGAGTTAAGCCCCGGGGCTTAACTCGAAGTTTGACAAAAAAGTTGTTGCTCGAGTTAAGCCCCAACTTTTGAAGTATGTCAACGAGTGCAATATTAAATTGCCAAATTTTCAATACAAAAAAGCCAAAGCACAGAAATTTTCCCCAAAAGAACTTATATATCGCTAATGTAATACGATTATCAAAAACAAACACAACTATTATCGTATTTTATTTTTAGGTATATTTTAGGTTTTTCATATTAAATTAATATTAAATTTAACAACAGGTAATTACTTTAAGTGAATCGTTTATCCACAACAATATTTTAATTATAAAATAGATAGAATCCTAGCTCGTTCCTTTTGCTTCAAAGTGCACAATATCGACAAATTAACAGTTTTACTATAACAGAAAAGGTGCAACCTTCTCCCATCACCTTCAACAAAACTAATCTGTTAAGAAAATGATCGAATTAAATGACAGCATGTAAAAATTAAAGAAAAAGGGAGGAAAGGGAAGCAATTTCGGTATAGAATGATCTGTCTTTGACAACTTGCGCCCAGAGACTCTCACCTCATACGCACATGTACAGTAATTTTATTAGCCTGCGAACAGGCTCTCAAGCTGAATTGAGAGCCTGTTCGCAGGCTATAATTTTATTAGCCAAATGGTTACGAATCACGAATTGTTTCATTTGGGTAAACAAATTATCACGGGGGAAAATTGTTACATTTGAGTAAAATACCCAAATGTAACAATTTATCCCCCTAATAATGGCGCTACGTTGACTTGTATTATTAAAAAGGGAATATTTGCTGAGCGATTAGTAATTTTATAAATGAAATGGCGACGTAGCGCCATTATTACGGGGATAAATTGTTACATTTGGGTATTTTACTCAAATGTAACAATTTCTCCCCGTGATAATTTGTACACAAATGAAACCATTCGTGATTCATAACCATTCATTTGGCTAATAAAATTACTGTACATGTGCGTATGAGGCGTGAGTCTCTGGGCGCAAGTTGTCAAAGACAGATCGTTCTATACCGAAATTCCTTCCCTTTCCTCTCTTTTTCTTTAGTTATTACGTGCTGTCATTTTCGATCATTTTCTTAATAGATTAGTTTTGTTCTAGGTGATGGGAAAGGTTGTACCTTTTTTGTTACAGTAAAACTGTTAATTTGTCGATATTGTGCATATTCAAACAAAAGGAACGAGTTAGGATTCTATTTACTTTATAATTAAAATATTGTTATGTTGTTTTGTTGTGGATAAATGATCAACTAAAAGTAATTACCTGTTGAGTGTTGTTAAATTTAATATTAATTTTAATATGAAAAACTTAAAATATTGTTAACGATAATAGTTGTGATTGTTTTAGATAATCGTATTACATTAGTGATATACAAGTTCTTTTTGGGAAAATTTCTGTGCTTTGCCTTTGGCTTTTTTGTATTGAAAATTTAACAATTTAATATTGCACTCGTTGACATACTTCAAAAGTCGGGGCTTAACTCGAGCAACAACTTTTTTGTCAAACTTCGAGTTAAGCCCCGGGGCTTAACTCGAATGACCCAAATCGTGTTTCGTTCTTCGAGTTAAGCCCTTTTGGAAAAAGGGCGTGGTCATAGCAAAACAGGGCGTGGTCCGGGGCTTAACTCGAAAAGGGCTTAACTCGAGGGGCTTAACTCGAAGGGCTTAACTCGAAGGGCTTAACTCGAAGACTCCCGACCTCGATTTTCCGAAGTTGACAAGTCTCTCTTTCTCGCTCCGCCCCTCCGTACTACGTCATGTAATGTACACTATAGTGGATCGATACTATATGACAATGAAAGAGAGACTTGGAGCTAGACCTAGGCCTTTACTCGGCTGGCTTTGGCAGGTATGGTCCATAGGTATGGTCAATTTCCGGCTAGCATTTGGTAATTATCGCAATGAATCGCAATGGTCATTCCTCCGCCCCGCCCCCAAATCACATAGTCCCAGTCTTTTCATGTGAAAAAGCGCTGAATATTAAAAAATATAAATAAAAATAGAAGGCATAGGTCTAGGCAAGGTCTAGGCTGGTAAGTTTAGTTAGTTTTGTTATAGCTGCCGGGGGTGAGAATTATTTTCTCACTGCACAATTATCCCTCATGATCCCCTGTTACCCCCATTAATTATCTGGAGCTTTGGCCACCGAGTTAGAAGTGGGAAGACTGGGATCGAAATAGAAAATTGTCCTTTTCATTTTCAAGATGTCGAAGAGAGGTTTGTGGTAGACTGTGTTTCAATCCTTCTCCATCTGAAGCTTTCTCCCGTTTCCCGAATAAAGCTTGCGACTGGAAAATAGTCTCCGAATACCGATTGGTTGTATTCCAAATTATTGAAAATAATTCCGAGAGTGAATATAATTTGTTTTACTCGTTGTTTTCGATCGATTATTGAGATCTATACGTTGATAAATACAAAGTCGCATTCGAATAAGTATTAAATACATGATAAATAACTGTGTTCTTTACAGTGGGGATTTTAGTATGAATGTTCTTTAAATTAGAACACGGGTACCTCACAAGTCAAAATTGTATCATGAATGTTGAACGAGAACTAGATCCATATATATGATCTATCTCAATAGAACTGATTCTCACATGGCCATAACAGAAAACTTTTAGACCTGATAGAGCTGTCCAGCATCAATGAACTTAGTTTATATTTTTAAATTGTAAATTGCTGATAAAGTGCTATTTTGAAATCTGATATTTTTGCTTGGTTTATGTAAATTTTTAAACCTTACACCGAGCTGTATTTTGGTAATCGAACTACGAATCGAATTCTATAGTCGCTCACTTTTTAACAGCTATCAGCACCAAAAAAATTCTTACTTTGGCTGAATTATGGTTGGCAAAAATTTGCCGACCTGGGAGGTTGATAGGTCAGCATTCAGGTCGGCATTGCCGAATGCTGACCTCGTTTTCAAGGGTTGCCAATGCAGGTTTGAACTGCAAACTATAACACAGCAGCCATTTGCCTAACACAGCAGCCATTTGCCTAACCGAGCTGTTTTTGAGCTCGCTAAAATCCTTCGTAAACAACACATTTCATAGTGTGCTGGTCATGTAGTTCATTAATTAAAAAGGCCTGCCGGTCATTTAGTACATTTTAAATTATGACCAGCTGCCGGTCAAATAGTCACAGGGTAATAAATACCTTCAGCAGTGCACAGCTTTTCCAATCCTTTGATTTATAGTTGTCTCTTCCCCACTCCCCAGAGATACCTTTGAGTCAAATTATCCTGGGGGACGCCCGGGAGGGTATGAATGTTTTCAATGCATATATATAATGCATACTTGGCCTGGCAGTATGCTAAACCAACTGAAATTTTTGTCAGACATGATTGGCAGGGTTGTTCATATTTGTTCCCCTGAAAAAAGAAATGTACTTACTGTCCATTGATGAATAGCTTAGAATATAATCTAAATTATTTTTTGCATTATTCCAGGACGTGGAGGGGCTGCAGGAGGGAAATTCAGACTTTCACTAGGTCTACCTGTGGGAGCTGTTGTAAACTGTGCCGATAACACTGGAGCCAAGAATCTTTACATCATTGCTGTAAAGGGCATTAAAGGACGCCTAAACAGATTACCTGCTGCAGGTGCAGGAGACTTGGTGTTGGCAACCGTCAAGAAGGGGAAGCCTGAACTGAGAAAAAAAGGTATATGCCAAGTTTGCTTAATAGCTGTGAAATCCATCACTTATTTTAGATAGGAGGTATTCAGGTTGTAAGCAAGACGACAAAGAGGGGATGTTATGGAACACTACACATAGATGGATTTTTGCTTCAGATTTTGCTCTGGAGAGGTGCTGAAAATTTAGGAGGGGTTGAGTGACAGGGCGCCAAACAAACTGCAACAATGATATGGGGCTCTCTCTACGCTTGTGTTCCAAGATATGCCATGTAAAGTGCAGTGAAATGTATCTCATCGTAATATTAAATCCCAAGAAAACTAAAGCAGGGTTCGAATTAATTCTGAAAAAATGGTTCGTGAATTAATTTTTTTTTATTTTAAGGAAATTTTAAGGAATTTTCTGTAAATGGAAGTTAAAATGTGGAAGCACTGCAATTTTCAAATATGTAATATACATCACAAACTCGCAAAGAAATAGAATTTTGGGTGGAATTATAATCGTTTTTAAGTACAATCTAACAAGAATATCTTCAGAATGTATGATCCTTCATCACATTTACAAAGAACTGAATTTATTTTTGTATATTTTTATCAATTTGAGAGACTTTTGATTCGTGATTTTGATCAATTTCTATGAAATTGGGTTCGTGAAAAATGAAAATTGATTCGTGATTCACGAATCACGAACCGTTATTTCGAACCCTGTAAAGCCTCTGCGGAGGAGAGAGGATATGGGGGCACAGTTGTTAATGGGAGTAAGGGGATGAAGCCACCAGGAAATGTTGAGTTTCTTGGTCTTATTTAGTTCAAAATCCTTGTTTTTAGTCTTACTCAGTTCAAACTCTTTTATATTTCAATCACACTACTACAGTCATTTATCCCAGTGAGCATTTAATTATTTTTTTGGGGGGTGGGGTGGGGTGCAAACTTCTCTTGGTGAAGTGGGAAAACAATTTTTTTGGGGGGGGGCTGCAAAATATTTTTGTTGGTGTGCATTCCCCCTTCAAACCCCCTAAAAATCGATCCATGACACCACAGCAACACGTCTAATTGAGAGTGTACCACTCAATGGGAGAGCGCGCCATTCAGTGGGTTAATCAGATCTGTCCTTGTGTCTAGTTAAATTAAGTTGTATATTTGTGCTTTAATGCACCCTATAATAAGTTGTATATTTGTGCTTTAATGCACCCTTGCTGGTAAATAATGAGACCAGGACTCGTGGCAGTCATAGCTATAAATATAGAGTCCCAAAAACTACCAAAGATGTTTTTAAATTTTCCTTTTTTCCTCGCACGATTAGGGAATGGAATTTACTTCCCGAAGAAATTGTGAGCTCAGAGAACCTCCTCCAGTTTAGAAACAATTTAAGCAATTCTTTTTAATAACTGTAAATATTGTTGTAAATATAGATTTTTAGAATAGGTATAGTTATAAATAGTTGGTGTGATATTCGAAAGGATTTTACCGACTTAACAAATATAGATGTAGATAGATTTTATTATTGTACTCTTTCTAATGCCAGATAATTTTACTCGTCAAGGGGAGAGCACTGGTACTCAACGGGTTAAAGTTCCATTAGGCTAGAAGTTGTAAACTACTGATTTTATACTGCACAGCATGCTATAATGAATCAAGAGCTTAGTGTCTTTTAAATGTAATATTGGGTATGCAGCTATTTAGTTTTTTTCTTTATTTTTAGTTATGCCTGCAGTAATTATTCGGCAACGGAAAGCCATCAGAAGAAAAAATGGTGTCTTTATATACTTTGAAGGTATTGTATGCTCCTTTATGGCATTCAACTGGCCTAGATAATCCAGTATAAACTTATATTAACCCATTAAGCTGCGATGTGCCCAAATACACCCGACTTATTGTTTTACTCAAGGGGAATTTATGCATTAATGGATTAATATTTATGAAAAACCCTGTTTGCAATCTCCCAATGATTTTATACTTATTATCCTCCCTAGATAATGCAGGTGTAATTGTGAATGTAAAAGGTGAAATGAAAGGTTAGTATGTTGTTTGAGAAACAATAAGAATTGACTGACCTGATACTACTTTATATCATAAGCAAAACTTGTATTCGAAAAAATAATTGGCCAAAGTACAATAATGTACATAATAAGGTTTTTGAACATGGATGTAAAAAATATCGTTTCCTCTTGTAGGTTCTGCAATAACTGGTCCTGTAGCCAAGGAATGTGCAGATTTATGGCCCAGAATAGCATCAAATGCCGGTAGCATTCACTGAATTGTGTTTAGGTTGCTATCTTCAAATAAAGTGATTGTATAAAGCTGGACAGTGTCTAATCTTTTAGTTGTGTAAACAAACCTTGTCACAATCTCGTGATTATACGAGGTTGGGGCTTTCGGGTAAATACCAACCTAAAATGAACATGCTTTGTGATTGACATGATCAGTGTTTGTGACTCATTCTCATAGATATCTTATATACACTAGATAGCGCATCTCTTTTAGTAAAATTGTAGCCAAGAATATTCCAGCGGTTACCCCCATTTGAATAGATCGCGGCCATGTTGAAGTTTCCCACTCGCTAATAAACGCTTGAAAAACAACAACAACTTTCATCATTTGAATAGTTTGAAAATGTATTTGGAATAAGTTTAACTTAATGTTTAAGTTCCCTGTTTAAGAAATAGAAAACATACGAGTCTTCTCATTTCATGGGAATATCCTGAGTCTACAAACACGGCTTCAATTTTTGAATTGCAGAATAATTAGATGCACTATCTAGTGTATATAAGATATCTATGCTCATTCTTTAGAAAATTTATTCTTTTCATTGGTATAATCAACCAAGCACAAAACCTGTTTGTGGCGACCTGCATTAACCCCATTAAGTTGCATTGCGCCTAGACTTACCACAAGTCGACTCGTTGTTTGGCCGAGCTCGTTGTCTGGCTTCGGTGCTTGGCCAAACAACGAGTCGACTTGCATTGCGCCCCGATGACTCTACGCTATTTTTTACCCTGTCCAATGCCAGTGCTCTCCCTTGCCAGTGCTCTCTCCCGAGTAAAATCGTCTGACTCTCAATAGATTAATCAGACTATTCGCCCATGTGTCTACAGAAGTTAACCGCCAAGTTTCACTGCGCTACCTACCCTACCCTATGAAACCGGAACCACAGGTATTTTTTTAGGCCTTACTATTTTACCCTGTCCAACGCCAGACGATTTTACTCGGCCCTGCGCAATGAGTGCAAAATGGGTTAGGATTTGGGTTAGAGTTAAAAATTTGCGATCGCGTGCCATTCCGCACGGATATACCGCCTTTTACATTCATCAGTGGAGAACAATGTGAAAGGGTATGTTTCCCAACGGCCTAGCCTCAACCTCGACTGGTGCACGCGTGACCTTTAAACACGAGGGACCCTGGGATCGAGGTTGGCCCAGCCTTTCTTAGTTTCTACTCCCACTCACCCACTCACATTTGTTCGCGATCACTGCTGAACACACAAGAGCCTTAATCCCGATCGGTAAAAATGATCAAACACACATCAAATTAAGCGCCTTGGACTCTGTTCAAACAAGGGCGTACATAAGAATTATTAAGAATTCTTATAGACGCCCTGGCTCAAACTCAAAACATTGAAGTTTTCAATGTGTCACGTTCGACAGAGTAAATCAATATGGGAAAATTATCCATATCCAACACGGGGCAGTACATGATCTGATCCACCCAGCTCTCAGAACAAACACCTGTTTGTCGGCTAAATGGCTAATCTCTATGCAACTGGGACTCACTATTCCACATTCTGATTAGCGGTTTGTTTAACTGGTTTCAAGTTGCCCTTCAGATGTCATGCAGGAGCACGTTTGAAGGTCCACTGCAATGCACCTTTACGGAAAGTACGTCACTTTGGTTATAGAACTTTATTTTCGTGTAAATGTTATAAGTTAACACCCAACCTCTCGATAACGAGGCTTTATAGGGAAGGTGACGTATTTCCGGAAGCGTGTATTAGTGGGTTGGAGAGAAAGGCGGGTAACGAGAAACTGCAATGGGTCTATTCTCTTTCTTCGACATTTTTGCCATCGTTAAAATTCAGTTTTAGAACCGAAGGCTCCATGATGAAACCAAACATTGAATTTAGACTACTCAAACTTAATCATGCAATAACATCGTAGCGATGCTTTAGAGTGATAGATTACGGATATTCCACTAATCAACCATCCATGTCTAACAACCATGTAAAAAAGCACATAGTAAAATCTCATTTCTTTAATAAATATAAATAGCCTATTTTAATCTATATACCCATTCTCATAATCCATAAATATTTTACAAATTACACATAGCACACCCACTAACTGCGATGTATATAAGCATTACACCTAAGTCATTTAAATAATTTACATCATTATATTTACATCATTTTAATGAAAATAATTCATCTTATGAGAATTGCATTCAAACTCCAGTGAAGTCCTGTACACTACATTTCTTAAATTAGCGTTTTACTAATTTTCGCTCTCAGTCTTAAATTCACGAAAAGATGGTAGGAAACGAGAAACTCACACTCAAATTGTGGTTTTTTGGTGATAAAACGAAAAATGTCCGAGCCACCAGAATTCAAAAAATCCCAAAGCCAAGACGAGAAAGATTAGCAGGACAGATTCTTTATGTCAGTATAATAACGAAAATAATATTAAAGTATAAATATTTAAGTTTAATAAAAAATACGATTCGATGGTCCCTTGAATGGTTTGTCTTTCATTTACCATTTCAAAAACTCATTCAGTCATTCTGCGTGTTTGATCACAGTATTAAAACATCTAGAAATTGCAACACCAGAGAAATTCGTGAAAAACATTTTTGTCTATGAAAGAAGTTCCTCAAAAGTGAGTGAAATAAACGGGAAATTTGACCGTGCACTGACAATGTGAATATTGGAAAACACTTCACTACTATTTCCCTATGGCTATGTCCATGATTCCCCTATCCCTGGTTTCTGAATCATGTTACTCCGACAAAATGTTCCTCAGTCAGAATCACGAGATACCACCTTCCAGGTTCGACTCAGTTGAGATTCATATACAAGATGAGTTTTTCAATGGTCAGCGTACTTATCAGGTACATGGTATGTAGTTTGAGTAAAATTCTCATGAATTATTGAGTATGAGATAACACCATACATATCAATCGAGTACATTAAGAATTACTTACATCACCCTACCAAGACTACGTTTCATTCGTTTCTATAGCTTCGCTGTTTTTATCTGGCACTGGACTAAAAAAGAACCATTTCTCTAGTCTTATTGGTCCCGTATCAAAATCATCGTCAGAGTTTTCAGCAGATGGCGGAGTTACAAAGAGTTTAGCTTCCATTGCTGTAGATCCTTCTCGTTTTGTAGGAGGAGTGACAGGGATATTACATGAAGTACCATCACAACTACTATTGTCACTATCACTGGAACTTAAAGTAATTTCCCCAAACAAGTCTTGCCCACCATCGGGTGTGCAATCTCGGTCTTGTTCCGATGCAGAACCTTGCAACTTGAGTGATTTTATAGCACTCTCTAATTCTGAGGTCACTTCATTTACAATACGGCGTTCAGTAGTCCTAGGGGAATTGACGACAACCTCGTATCCAGGACCATATTTCACTCGGTCACTCTTGTAATCAACCATGCAAGCTCCATCTGGATTCTCGGCACCAACCCCCTGACCACGTGGTTCGAGTAAATTCATCCCGCTGCTCCGTCGTTCATGAATTGAATCACTAATTACTTCGAGATTTCTTAACGCTGTGTGGTATTCTTTCTTAGCAAAGATTATGTCATTCTGGAGTTTAAACACTTTACGTTTGTACGCCTGAAAAGTGAGATAAAGTATTTTTAATATATTAAGAGAACGAAATTTTCGAGAGCAAATGTGTATATATCATGACCTATCCATGCGTTGCGGGAAATGCAATGATTGGCACTCCAGTGCCGGTTGTTCAAAGGTGGGTTAGCGCTAACCCTGGGTTAAAGTTTAACCTGCTGTTTTAGTTTGTGTATTTCTACACGTCTGTTTATTTCAAAACTTCAGAGAAGTAAATTCCTATCGATCCAGACAAGATCTCTGAAGAAATATTTCCAAATTTATAGACAAGTTGTCAGGAAGTTTGCTTTGAATTTTAGGTTACCCAAGGGTTAAGCTAACCCAGCTTTGAACAACCGGCCCCCGGAATCTAACGTGCGCCCGTATGATTATCTGATGAAGCGTGTTGACCACTTACCAACAGAGTAGCAAGTCAGGTCACAAGTCATTTTGTCCGAGTCAAGTCACAAGTCATTTTGTCCGAGTCAAGTCACAAGTCATTTTGTCCGAGTCAAGTCACAAGTCATTTTCCGAGTCAGGTCACAAGTCATTTTGTCAAGTCACAAGTCATTTGTCCGAGTCAAGTCACAAGTCATTTTGTCCGAGTCAGGTCACAAGTCATTTGGTCCGAGTCAAGTCACAAGTCATTTTGTCCGAGTCAGGTCACAAGTCATTCTGTCCGAGTCAAGTCACAAGTCATTCTGTCCGAGTCAAGTCACAAGTCATTTTGTTCGAGTCAGGTCACAAGTCATTTGGTCCGAGTCAGGTCACAAGTCATTTGGTCCGAGTCAAGTCACAAGTCATTTGGTCCGAGTCAGGTCACAAGTCATTCTGTCCGAGTCAAGTCACAAGTCATTCTGTCCGGGTCAAGTCACAAGTCATTTGGTCCGAGTCAAGTCACAAGTCATTTTGTCCGAGTCAAGTCACAAGTCATTTTGTCTGAGTCAAGTCACAAGTCATTTTGTCCGAGTCAAGTCACAAGTCATTTGGTCCGAGTCAGGTCACAAGTCATTTTGTCCGGGTCAAGTCACAAGTCATTCTGTCCGAGTCAAGTCACAAGTCATTTTGTCCGAGTCAGGTCACAAGTCATTTGGTCCGAGTCAAGTCACAAGTCATTTTGTCCGAGTCAGGTCACAAGTCATTCTGTCCGAGTCAAGTCACAAGTCATTCTGTCCGAGTCAAGTCACAAGTCATTTTGTCCGAGTCAGGTCACAAGTCATTTGGTCCGAGTCAGGTCACAAGTCATTTGGTCCGAGTCAAGTCACAAGTCATTTGGTCCGAGTCAAGTCACAAGTCATTTGGTCCGAGTCAAGTCACAAGTCATTTGGTCCGAGTCAAGTCACAAGTCATTTTGTCCGAGTCA